TGAGAGGTTTTTGCTATAGGGCGCATGCGCTCGCCAGACAGACAGAGAGAGACATAGAGACAGAAAGCAAGAAATCACCCCCCAGGGGGGATGTCCACGCCGCAATCCCTTCTCTTCCATTCTCCTCTCAGGGCACGCACGCACACGCGCCCGGCGTGAGTTTTAAGCCACCGGGTCCGGGACGCGAACCGCGGTCGACTACGTGGGAGTCCAGCGACATAGCCATTACGCTAACTGCTGGTTCCCCAGATAAAGTAATTCTTAAAAAAAAAAAAGGTCTTGATTTAATAGCCAACATCTTTTAAAAATATATTGTATTTTCTAAGTTCTTCAGTGTGAATAAAAAAAAGCTTACAACATAATTGTTTTTAAAGTGGTTATAAATAAAAGGACTGTGCTAAAATTTCATTTTTACAACTCTATTTCTATATTTGTAAGTTTTAAGAGGACAGTGAAGGAGTGGCAGATCAGTTTTCTATTGGGTTCTTCTATGTCTTGATTATCATGGACAGAACTGAAAGTCACAGCCTTCTCTAAAAGAGAGGAGGTAGAAAGATGTCTCCATCCTCCTCTAAAATATTGGTGTTTCCAGCATTCTATACTCCATCTTATTTTCACCCCAACATTCTTTCTGAAATGCCCACCAAGTTGGTAGGTAAGCCTCAAGATTCTATCCTTGACCTCTTCTCACCAGATATGATCACCCTTAGCAATCACATCCACACCCTTGCTTCTACTGTGTGGTTCACAGTAGCTTGGGAGCTTCTGAGAAATATGAATCTCAGCCCCAAGCCTGGGTCAATAGAATTGGTCCCCCTTATCCTCAGGGTGTATATTCCAAGACCCCCAGTGGACACCTGAAGCCATTGACAGCATCAACCCTATATACACTTTTTTTCCAATCTGATAACCCAGACAGCTATTAAGGGACTAACAACTGGGTAACGTATACTGGACAAAGGAATGATTCATGTCCCAGGTCTGACAAAGTGGGACAGCCAGAGGCTCATCCTAACACTCAAAAATGGTACACAATTTTAAAACTTAGCAATTACTTCTGGTATGTTCCATTTAAAATTTTCAGACCACACCTGAATATACCTGAACACAGAGGGCAGAAACTGGAGTTATGCTGAATGCAGGTAAATGAAATTATAGAAAGCAAGGCCATGGATAAGGGGACACTACAGTATGCATTTCAGCAAGATCCACAGATGATTCACCTGAACATTAAATTTTCTATACCCCTGATTTCACTATCTATAAGCCAGTGATCCCTAAATCTATCACCTCAGGGCAGAACTCTCTACTAAAGGCCAGAAATGAGAGAGGCATAGGTAAGAACACAGACTCTGCAGTGGAAATGCCTGATGAACCTAGGCCAGATCAGTTACTGGTTGTGACTTGACATTCAGTACAAGTGGAAAGAGAAGAGCACCAGTGCTGTAGCAGACAGAGTCTAAAGTGCTACCTACCTACCCCCTTCCACCAAGTACAGGTAAGATTCGTGACGTGGGTTTTTTTAAACGAAAAGAAGGAATATGACAAAGATGATAAATAACACATTATTATGATACACAAGCTTTGGGCGCCTGCCTATGAGAAGACTCTCCCCCTTGCAGGCCTTCAACAGCAGCTGCCACCTGTAAGCTACCCTAGGGAGAGTGTCATATATCAAAAACACAAAAGTGTTCCCAACAGCCAGGTAGGCTCCAAAATGGAGCCTTCTCCAGCTGGAGCCTGACATGTGATTCAGAAATGACAAGATGATAAATGTGTGTGGTTGGGAACAGCAGTTGGCGTAACGGCTATGTTGCTGGACTCCCATGTAGTCGATCATGGTTCGAGTCCCAGATCTGGTGGCTTAAACTCACATCGGGCGCCTGTGCATGTGTGCCCAAGATCCCCAGAGGAGAATAGAGGAGAAGGGATTGCAGTATGGCCATCCCCCCTGGAGGGTGATTTCTCGCTTTCGGTCTGTCTTTCTGGCGAGTACATGCACCCTATAGCAAGAACCTCTAAAAGAAAAAAAGTGTTTTGTTTAAGCCACTAAGTTTGCAATAATAACTAATTTTAGCTATTTTATCCTTCTACCCGTTAGACTCCCTACCTGAATGTCCAAATGTATCTCAAACTAAAGTCCAAAGAAAATTGTTTTTATTCCCATTCGCTCCTCTTTATGAGTCCCTATCTTACGAACAGTACAACCATAAGCCAAGTCAGAAACGTTAACCATGCCACCGGGACAAGTCTCATTAGTGCCCTCCACTTTATCTCACTGCCTTTGTGCACATCCTCATTCTCTAACACAGTAGGGCCATTGAATGCATCCTTTGCTTTTTCTGCTCCCAGTCTCGCTTCCACAAGGCCACCAAAGTCAGTTTTCTAAACAGTAAATGAAACCATGTAACTCTCTGGACTTTTAAAAGTCTGAATGGTGACAGGATGGGAATGAAACTTGGGAAGCAGCCTTCTCTAAAATCTGCCTGGCCTGCTGCATGCCTCTCTTCTACCCTAGGCTCCCCAGAGGGCATCTAGGTCTTCTGCCTCTATTTTTCAACACTGAGAATCAACCTCACTCCTACCCAACACTTCTAGCCCTCTTAAGGCAGAAGTGATTATCCCTCTGCTGTCCTACTGTACCCATCTATGCTCCAACCACAGCACCTTCAGTATTTTACTCTACTGATCTACAGCCTAGAGACTGAATTCCTTATATATAGGACTGCATTGTATTCGTGTTTTTATCTTCAGATCTTCAGGTCCCTGTGACTTATGAAATGAAAAAACTTTTGAGATTCTTTTTGCTTACTAATACAAACTTACATACTTCAATAAAGGTTATCTGAAGCTTATATTTCAATGTAGTGAATGAGAGCGTCAATGACAGAGTAAACAAAAAGAATGAAAGAAGACTGTAGTTCTGATCTTAACTCCTGTATTTGGCCTTTCACTGGTCATTTCACTCTGTTGGTCTGTTTCCTCATTTGTGAAACGGTGCTACTATAAAAGCTGTCTATCCTCACAAGGTGGTTCTTACTACTCAAATTTCCTAATACAGACACATATTACTTAATGATTGGGATACATTGTGAGAAATGCACCATTCGAAGTATCTGTCACTTGAACAAAACAGAGTGTATTTATACTAACCTGAAAGGTACAACCCTACCATATCCCTAGACTATAAAATGCAGCCTATTGCTCCTATGCTACCAACCCGTACAGCACATTACTGTACTAAATACTATAAGCAACTGTAACATAATTTTAAGCATTTATGTAGCTAAACATAAAAAGCAGTAAAATTTGTCACAGAAGATGAAAATGGGCACAGGGCACTTAACATGTATGGCGCTGACTAGGATACAATAAATTTTTTGAAATCTTCTTGCAATTATAAATTACCCTTAGCATACTGTAGTTTTTTCCTTCATAAACTTTTAAATGTAAAACAAATTTTTTTTATTTTTAGAATAACACTTAGCTAAAATGACAAACACTTATTGTAGAAAAATATTTTTTCTCTGTATCCTTATTCTTTTTTTATTTT